CGCGCGCGCGCGCGCGCGTATATGATACATGTACGTATGTAATTCGATGTCGCCGGCTTTTTCGCCAAGAAAACAGACAGAGCGAATCGCGTCGCCAGTGAGCAAGCCGACACGATCTCGTTGTCGTCTCTGCCGCGACGGCTCCTCTCTTATCTGTCGGGAATTCGTCGGGGAATTCCCGCGGCGGCGGTCCCGAGTGCATTCCGAGAGAGGGAAACCTTCGTAGGAGAAAGAAATTCGTCGGGCGAGATTTGCGATCAAATCGATCGATTCCGGTGAGAAGAACGATTGTCTTTTGGCGATCGACTTCATCGCGGGACCGAGGAAGAGAGAGAGAAGAGTGGTCGACTCGTCGGATATTTCGAAGAATGTCGATCATGCGAGGAATCTCGATCGTATCGGGAAACCGCATGGAGGTTCTTCGTGGCAATAAATACACGAGAAAGAGCGAGGGAGAAATCCGGAAGAAGAACCACAGTGAATAACTTCAAGGGCTCGATTCTATAAAAATCCGACTGCACCGAGGAACTCGAAGAGAATCCTCCGAGGGAGGTTGTATAATAAAAAAGAAAAAGGAACGACACATTCGGAAGGAAAGAAGAGCGAAGGAACGACGGAGGGATCGCAGCGAATGTTCCCTTGAAACATTTGGTTCTGCATCTAAGGGGACTCGAGAGAATCAATTAGACTAATCTATTTCCAAGGTTCTCGAAGTCTTAATTTCTTTTTTTTTCAAAGAGCACAAGTGGAGCAATTAAATGATACTCAACTGTGTCCCGAGGCTCCAGCGATCGTCTTAATCGGATTTATCTGAAAAATTTCTACGAGTTTCGAGCACATACTGAGAAACTGCAGGATCTCTGCAGGAAATCAAAATTACCATTTTACATACAGGTTTTGAAGACTCTGAAGTCACTCGAATTATCTTTGGGAGAGAAGAGAGACACTTGCTCGAATGTATCTTGAAAATTCCGTAGATATGGCTGAGAGACGCGCATCCGACACTGCTTAATCGCGGGGAGGCTGCATCGGATATTCGATTCGTTACATAACAAATCCACAACAAACGACTCGGGAAACAAAGGAGTCGCAGGGAAGCGAACTTCGGCTTCGATTGATCATCCTCCCGCTGACACCGTCGGATAAGGGCGAGAGCGAGAGCGAGAGCGAGCGAGCGAGCGAGAGAGAGAGAGAGAGAGAGAGAGAGAGAAGAGAGAGAGAGAGAGAGAGA